CTTGAACCTGTGAAGCATTTTCGGAGTGAGTAAAAACTGGCATCAAACCAAGTTAATAGGCACTTTTAAGCTTGGTGGATTTGGTACGCCCGCATTATATAACCTACCGAAAACTGCTGCATGGATGAATAATCCACTTTCCATGTTGCTGCTGTCTGCGTTTCTCTTTATTCAGTGCGCTCTTGCTACCGAATAACTTCATGGCCAGCTTATTATCCGAAGGCTGAAAGAAGGCAAAGAATTGCTCCTTCAGATAACTGGAGGTGCTTTGTTTGCTGGGATCACACAATTCCTCAACATAGCCGTCTGCCATCGCGGCCGCATTTAACGGAATCTGACCCTCAGTTGGCATAGATGCCCCCGCAGTTTCCGAAGCAATGTCACTGGACTGAGTCGCAAGACGCCCAGCATCGGGTATATTCAAAGACACTTTTGCCTTTCTGTTCATCGCACCCATCTCAGTGGGAGGAGCTTGCTCCATTTCCATTGACGAAGATGGGGAATAATACTGTGTTCCAGCATCTAGACGTCCTTCTTTAGAAGCAACGCTCCCGGGACCACAATCAGGGTGCTTGGATAAGCGTACAAATGAATCACCATCGTCTGGCAACCATTTTTGAAGTTTATTCAGTGAACCATGCAGTGGCTGATACTCAGTCGGTCTCGCATCATTTGACTTTAAGTCCATGTCCGGACTGGTAAGGAGGGAACCGGGATTCCATTGCACGGTGTTCACGCGAGTGTCGATTGTTCGACTTCGCTGAAGCGATTTTAGCCTTGCAATCCGTGATGTCCAACGGGTCTTTTGAGACATCCCACGACTCCGAAATTGGCTTGAACTGAGCGGATGAGGTGATGGTGTCATAGAATGTGTGGTACCGACTTCGTCATCTTTCTCATCCCCTACACCAATAGTGACAGAACGATGGAGACGAGACTTGTAAATGCGTCGAGTCGCTTGTGGTGTAGTGTTAGTCTCTGCAACGGGTGGGTTGACAAGCAGATCTGACTTGGGAATTGGTGAGAGTAAGGCCGATGTCGTGTCAATTAATTCCGATTCATCCTCCTCAGCAGTGCAACTCTGAATGCTGTGAAGGAGCGGTTTTTCCACCGACACAGGATGGGAACTCGAACACTGCGACTCACCTGAAGATGGTTTGCATGGAATTTCCATTGTTAAAAGGGAAAGGAATACGCACCTCTAGGCACGACACAACTATGGGAACTAAATTCATCTCTGCGACCCAACCTTTTTTCCAGCCCTCCTCAATGATTGGTTAGAGCATATTCAAAGCTGATTGGATTTGTCCATGTACAGTAGTTGCAACGGCAATACTTATTACATTTGTCCATGTCTAAAAAGTTAGTAATGATCTACCTTCTTTTGCATCGGCACAAAAAATATTTTTGTGATTTATTCTGCTCTTTATGGCTTGTTTTAACTTAAATTAAAGGCAAATCAGCCGGCTTGACATTTTGATCGGGTGGATTTAAGTAGCTGGAAAACCTTTTGGGTAATGAGCAACTTCTATGGGTAGTATTTGCACACCAATACACGTTACAGTTTTTTTTAACTAAGCATTATTTTACTTAGGGATCGAAGCTTTTGCACTGAACTATTAAAAACAATATCCTCAATACGTCTCTATACAAAAAAATGATTCCTCATTCAGTAAGCAGGCATTTTAACAATTCAACTTTGCTTTTAAACATTTACTGTCCTCAAACCAAGTCATCATATTTGACAATTATTACAAGGTTTTGATACATAAAGTGAGATGCTCTGTCTTAAGACCGCATTCTTGACCACTTGAGCCTAGAAAATACTGTCTTTAAGAGTTTAGGACCCATGAAAACTGATAACCTTCCAAAACAATTTGTACATAGATCTTCCATTGTGTTATAATTTGATTCTACTAATAAAATTTAAGTAACTAAGCGAAGTTAAAGGAAAAGTAACAGTTATCATTAGTCGTGGGGCTGGATGAATACAACTTTGAGGTGCTTAAAAAAACTGAGGGACATACTCAGAAGTTTTAGGTCGTAAACGGACGACTGTTTTGCTTTTCGCTTTGCTAAAGCATAAGAGAGCCTGAAAACTCCCATCAACAAGTAGTTAGCATGATTACCTACCTTAACTCAAAAACACGTTTGGCTCCTCCGCGATTATCATTACAAAGATATTTTAAGAACCTGAAACCAACAGTATGGTTATATCTGGATATACTTTGTTCACTAATGCTACCTCGAAAACTTTTACATTTTCTGTGTGCCAAAAGCTAAAATTATTTTCATTCCTAGGTAAGCCTGGTAATGGTTACGGAACGCAAGCTCACTAGATCCTACCTTGAGGTACGTCAAAGTATGGATTATCAAATGATATCGCTCTGGTCCCGATGAGTTTTCTTCTCGGTATTGCGGCAGTATTTTTGCGATGCTGGTCGTCCATTGTACCATCGTCTAGACTACATGGTCTTGTCTCGCGCAGTCGACGTCGAAGGTAGGACGTGTAGAGGCATTCGCGAGGCCCTCCAAGTCTGAAGTCCTCAGGCGCCATGACCTCCTCCTCAGCACGGCCAGGATCGAAGTACTCGATGGGCTGATCGATAGCCACTGAAGCTTGTGAGTGGAGAATGCACTGGCGCATCGCTCGGGCGGAGGCGTCGCTCGGCGAGACGGAAAGATTACGCCGCCGACGCGGAGTCGATGGCTGCGTCCAAGCGCTGTCTCCTTGCCGCATTTGCCGCACATTTGGCATCTGAACTCGTCGCTTTCGTGTTCGAGACTACCTTTAGGAGTTAAACGACCCACTTTTGGTTCATTACGGAAGGGCGTGCAGCATAATTAAGTTCTGCTGTTTTAAAGTCCTAATTTAAGCAATAAACGTGACTGCTAAATGAAAAATCTAAACTGCCTTAAAGTTGAAGAACAAGGACAATTAGTTTTTATTTAAAATGCGTAATACTTAGTATAATGGCAATACTTCAACATTAACGCACTAGCCAGAAAACACCGAAACTTTTTTTGTGGAAGTCAAGCATGATAATTGCATCTTTGCCGTTTTTGGTGGAAACTTTAAGTGAGCTAAATAAATCCAGAAATTTCCATTCCCAAATCTAGTGACATTGCTACCATATCATGTCGTTTGGCCTCCATTGTGGTGCATTACTTAGACAAATGCAGAGAGACTTGAATAAATGCTGGCATGGTTATTTCAGACTGCGCTGCTTTTAGTAGCCATCCATATAACACTGTCTCGTTTTCCCTTACCAATCCATTTCGTAAATTGGCGTCACCAGATTCCTAAAACTGGGGGCGAACTATAGATTCTTCGAGTGCTCTGTAGCTATTTACAAGTTAAGCGTTGACTGAGACCATTTGGGAGCTTTTTTGGAGGAGGAAGAGTCTGTGGTATTGATGATGAGGCGTTAATGTCCACACCGTTTGGCACCCGAATCTTAAGCAAAACCCTGCTCCAATCATTGCATTAGAAGTTGGGCACTGCCTGATGAAGGCATCTATTATTCACTGAAAAGGTGAGGGTGCACATTATTCTATTCGCAGCTAAATATAGACACCCGGAAACCTTATAAGGATAGGATTTGTCTCAATGAGAATAAGGTATTATGTCTTGTTTTGGCGAAGAATTATTTTAATGCATTAATAATAGCCCTTCTAATTTTAAACTTGATTCCTGCACATTAAAAGAGATGAATAGGTCTTAACCAAGGTCTCTTAAATGCGCGCCTCATTTCTAACAACCGCGCCTAGCGATGCTGACGTCCATCGATTGCCCTGCGCGACGGTCCTTCCAGTCCGCGCCGCTGGAATGAGATCAACATTTGTCATGTCAAAATGTGAGGCCGTGGTTTTTCGTCATTTTTGGCCTCCAAAAAATTGGAGGGACCCAACGTGAAGTAAATTGGTGTAATGGGGGTAGATGTTAGCACAATCAAACTCAACACTTTAATGTATTTCACAATAAAGCATTTATTGGTACCGTAAAATCGACAAGACTTCTTGAAAAATTTTCCATGGAGTTGAAAACAAAAAAAACCCCAAGCATTTACGGCGCTTCCGATGTTAAAAACCTCACAATTTAAATGTTTAT